TCTTTGAGACAGAGTCTTGCTCTGTCACCTAGGCTGGAGTGCAGTGGTGTGATCTCGGCTCACTGTACCTTCGACCTCCCAGGCTCAAGTGATTCTCCTGCCTCAGCTCCCCCCCCCCCCCCCCCAAGTAGCTGGGACTACAGATGTGTGCCCACACCTGGCTAATTTTTGCATTTTTTGTCAAAATGGGGTTTTGCCATGTTGCCCAGGCTGGTCTTGAACTTCTGGGATCAAGCAATCTGCCGAACTCAGCCTCCCAAAATGCTGGGTTTACAGGTATGAGCCACTGTGCTGGCCTCTTAGGTATTCTTGACCATAAATTAGCTTGTTACATTCCATCAAAAATCTGGTAGAGGCCAGGCACCGTGGTGCACACCTGTAATCCCAGCTACTTGGGAGGCTGAGGCAGGAGAATCACTAGAACCCAGGAGGTGGAGGTTGCAGTGAGCCGAGATCGTGCCACTGCTGCGCCCCAGATTTTATCTCAAAAAAAAAAAATCTGGTAGAGATTCTAACTGGAATTATTTAGAATCTATATATCAAGTTGGGGAGAAGTAACATCTTATGATGTTAACTCTATTAATGAATATGTTTTTATCTGTAAGGTCACCCAGGTCTCTAGCATGGCACACGTCATGTCTTTTCATCTCTACGGAGCCTTGCATGTGGAAAGTCCTCACTAAATGTTGGGTGTGTGAATGATGAATATTATGCATCAGTAGTTTCCACTGTAGCCTTTCACAGAAGAGAAAGCTAAACCTCAGTGAAATTATGCGGATTGCATATGGTCGTGTAGCATGATTGCCAGTGCTAGAACCACGAGCCCGGTTTGGTGGATGTGATGCTTGGCATGAGGGTTCCCTGCTCGCGCACCGCTTGTTGGATAGCAGCACATGTTTTGCTAAGAACCTGTGCCATGCTGCTTTACATTTCATTCACTTGAGCTTGCACGTGGGTGGCTTTGGGCCTGTGTGTCATTTGTGCGTATGTTAACAATAGAGATTTGGGAGAACTCCATGCCTGTGTAGTGCCTGCCACAGAATGCTCACAAGCACATTTTTGAATTAGGAAAAACTATACTTAGAAAAATTTTTAAAAAATGAAAAAAATTGATGCCTTTTGAGATTAAAAAAAAAACTATACTAAAGGTTAAATTTCTATTATTTTAAATTCTGAATTTTTACATGTACGCCTAACCATAATGTTGGACAAAAATATATTTAATAACTTGGTAAAATTCCATTGTATGGTATTACATGGAAAGGGCCTTGTATGCCTTTTCTTTCTTTTCTTCTTTTTTAAAAAACTTGTGCTCTGGGACCCTAAATACCATTTTATTCATTTAGTAGTGTCCAGGGCTTGCTCGTTGTGGTGATGAGATGATACTGTTTTTTGATCTTTTTTGAGATGGAGTTTCGCTCTTGTTGTCCAGGCTGGAGTGCAGTGGCGCCATCTCAGCTCACTGCAACCCCTGCCTCCCAGGTTCAAGTGATTCTCCTGCCTCAGCCTCCAGAGTAGCTGGGATTACAGGCATGCGCCACCACGCCTGGCTAATTTTTTTTGTATTTTTAGTAGAGATGGGGTTTTGCCATGTTGGCCAGGCCGATCTCCAACTCCTGACCTCAAGTGATCTGCCCACCTCGGCCTCTCAAAAGTGCTGGGATTACAGGAGTTAGCCACTGTGCCTGGCTGATTATGCTGCTGTTTAGATGAGATAATACTTTTTAAAGTTATTTTTATTTATTTTTTTGAGATGGAGTCTCACTCTGTTACCCAGCCTGGAGTGCAGTGGTACAACCTTGGTTCACTGCAACCTTTGCCTCCCAAGTTCAAGCAATTCTCCTGCCTCAGCCTCCAGAGTAGCTGGGACTGCAGGTGTATGCCATTACTCCTGGCTAATTTTTGTATTTTTAGTAGAGATGAGGTTTTGCCATGTTGGCCACGCTGGTCTCAAACTCCTGACCTCAAGTGATCCTCCCTCCTGGGCCTCCCAAAGTGCTGGGATTACAGGTGTGAGCCACTGTGCCCAGCCGAGATGATACTTTAAAAATAAGGCCCTTTCTTTTTTTAAATTTTTAAAATTTATTTTATTTTTTTGTTTTTTTCTTTTTCCCTTTTTTTTTGAGATGGAGTCTCGCTGTGTCAGCCAGGCTGGAGTGCAGTGGCACGATCTCAGCTCACTGTAATCTCTGTGGCCCAGGTTCCAGTGATTCTCCTGCCTTAGCCTCCTGAGTAGCTGGAACTATAGGCGTGTGCCACCATGCCTGGCTAATTTTTGTATTTTTAGTAGAGATGGGGTTTCACCATATTGGTCAGGCTGGTCTTGAACTCCTGACCTTGTGATCCTCCTGCTGCGGCCTCCCAATGTGCTGGGATTACAGGTGTGAGCCACCGTGCCTGGCCCATAAGGCCCTTTCTTAATCTGCTCTGGGCTGTACTCTCCTTCTCTGTAGAATGAAGGCTTGGACTAGGTCAGTGTTTCTCAGCTTCTGTTAAACCCATGCCTACTTTTGAGAAACATGAGTTCTCCAATCTCCCCCACTCCGGATTTTGACATGCCTTTCGAAGGGTGTTATGCCTCTTGTTGGAAGATGATGTGATTTTGGTTCCTTCCAAGGTGATTTTTTTTTTTTTTTTTTTTTTTGAGACAGAGTCTTGCTCTGTTGCCAGGTGCTAGGCTGGAGTGCAGTGGTGAGATCTCGGCTCACTACAACCTCCACCTCCCGGGTTCAAGCAATTCTCCTGCCTCAGCCTCCTGAGTAGCTGGGACCACAGGTGCGTGCTACCATACCCAGCTAATTTTTGTATTTTTTTTTTTGGTAGAGATGGGGCTTCACCATGGTCTTGATCTCTTGACCTTGTGATCTGCCCTCTTCGGCCTCCCAAAGCCAAGGTGATTTTTGTGTGCACAAAAGGCTCTTTAGGGAATTGTTTTGGGGAAAGGGCAGGAGGGAGTGGGGCGTCATCCTTGAGAGTGTGAGCACTGGAGTTGGGGACTTGGGTTGAATCATACACATGTAATATACTTGTGAACCATTTAGATCCTGGGCAGACACAACACATGTTGGGAGACTAGGGTTTCCTTTTTTAAAAATTTAATTTTGTTCATACTCCTCTATGCGTGTGTATTTTTGAAGTCTGTAGAGGATGGGGTTGCGGTGTGTAGTCCATTGTGGGATCTGCATATTCACAAAGGGATGGCACCTCCTCTCCGTGCAGGGTGAGAGTCTTGCCATTAGAATGTCACAGAGGTCTTGTAGCAATGTCATTTTAATCTTAGTGTCTCGCCTGGGAGGGTTACTGCCATGATTTCTGCAGTCAGGCTTTGGTGACCTGAAGGTCATGCAGTTTGGGGCTTCCTATTTAAGAAAAAGAAAACAAAATTAAAAATGCAAAATCAGATAGAGGGCCATGGAAGGGGCTTGAAGCTGAAGCCCCATTAACTCATGGTACAGCTAGCTGCCTCTGGCTATGGGGACCATGGCCAAATGCCCTGAGGAAGTATGAGCTTGCCAATGGGGACAGCAGAGGTGTGTATCCAGACGTTTCCCTATTTGATACAGAGAGCTCATTTAATCTCACTAACCTTTAAAAAAATTAGACTTTTTATATGAGACTATAGTAGGTAGCTCCATGTGCATTGTCAGAAATAATACAGAGAGATCCTATATACCCTTTGCCCAATTTCCCCCAATGGTGCCATCTTACAAAACCACAGTACGTTATTACAACCAGAATGTTGACTCACCGACACTTGGAGCTGTGTGTTACTATCCTCATTTTTATTTATGATTAAACTGGGGTTCAGGGATGTGCACAGCCTTGCTCCAGGTCACCCAGCGTAGAGCTGGGAGTTGAATGTCATCCCTGACTTCCAGGCAGTGGGATTTCCATCATGACCATCTGTGGGCTGGGGCCTGCATTTACTGAATTGTTCATTTGTTTGTTTGTTCACTAATCCCTTCAACAAACATCTATTGAGGATCTCCTATGAGCCAGATTCCTCCATGTGGGTCATCTAATTTAATTTTTTCACAGCTCTGGGAATCAGGTAATAACGTTTTCTTTTTATATTTGACAAAATTGGCTCAGGGAGGTTATGGCAGCTCTCCCGTTTATAGAGGAGTCGTGGTGTATTTGTGTAATCTCTCTTTTTTTAGGCACAATACTAGGCCCTTTACATCCACAACCTTCTTAATCTAGATACAGTTTTATAAAGCAAGTTCTTTTTCTTGTAATTCTTTTTTTTTTTTTTTTTTTGAGACAGAGCCTCACTCTGTCACCCAGGCTGGAGTGCAGTGGCGTGATCTCGGCTCACTGCAGCTTCCGCCTCCTGGGTTCCAGCGATTCTCCTGCCTCAGCCTCCCTGGTAGCTGCAATTACAGGCACATGCCACTACACCTGGATAAGTTTTGTATTTTTAGTACAGGTGGAGTTTCACCATGTTGATGAGGCTGGTCTTGAACTCCTGACCTCAAGTGATCTGCCTGCCTCGGTCTTCCAAGGTACTAGGATTACAGTTGTGAACCACTGCGCCTGGCCAAGCAGGGTCTCCTATCACCGTTATTTTGTAGCTGAGGAGTTTCAGGGAGCTTGGAATTCAAATCCAGATCTGATTGCATGGTGGTTTTTTTTTTTCATTATATCCTGTTCAGGGGATAGGGGAGCAATTACACATGTGTTTATTCATTCACTCAACAGACATTTTTGAGCACTGACTATTACTACTCCTGGTTAGATGGTGGGAATAGGAAGACAAGAAGCAGCCCCATTTCTGCAGAAGCTCCAAGCTGAGGCTAAGGGACTGAGGTCAACAGTTACAGCATTATCATCAGAGCCGTGACAGTCACGTGTAGAGCCCTAAGAACTGTTGACGGCATGGCTTTCCTTGGGGCTTACCCGGCCTCCAGGTAGTGAATGTCGGATTCACTGCCTCCCAGAGTGGGCTCTCAGCACTTGGGACTCTGCATCTCAAAGCCTCATTTCTTCTCTCTGAACAGGGACTTCAAAATGAGTGTCCCTGACTACATGCAGTGTGCTGAGGACCACCAGACGCTGCTCGTGGTGGTCCAGCCTGTGGGCATCGTCTCTGAGGAGAACTTCTTCAGGATCTATAAGAGGATTTGCTCTGTGAGTCAGATCAGCGTGCGGGACTCCCAGCGAGTCCTGTACATCCGCTACCGGCACCACTACCCACCCGAGAACAACGAGTGGGGTGACTTCCAGACCCACCGCAAAGTCGTGGGCCTCATCACCATCACAGACTGCTTCTCAACCAAGGATTGGCCGCAGACCTTCGAGAAGTTCCATGTGCAGAAGGAGATCTATGGCTCCACGCTGTACGACTCCCGGCTCTTTGTCTTCGGGCTGCAGGGGGAGATCGCCGAGCAGGCACGCACTGATGTGGCCTTCTACCCCAACTACGAAGACTGCCAGACGGTGGAGAAGAGAATCGAGGACTTCATTGAGTCCCTGTTCATTGTGCTGGAGTCCAAGCGTCTGGACAGAGCCACAGACAAGTCTGGGGATAAGATCCCCCTTCTCTGTGTCCCGTTTGAGAAAAAGGACTTTGTAGGACTGGACACAGACAGCAGGTAAGTTTACCTAGAGACCCAGGCCCCTTGGCTTCCCTACATCAGAAGGGGAAAGCACATGGCAGAGTTTTGTTGCATCAACAAGTGGAAAGGTGGTGTCCATTGGTTTCTAGAACTAATGACTTTGTGTCAGGATCTGTTTGAGTGCTGCTAAAAAACCAACCAAACAAAAACCAGTGACTTTTAAAGACAGAGACAGGCTTTGGTTTGGGGGAGTCTTTTGGAGTTGTCTTGTACACTCCCCTTTTTTACTGGGGGTCCCCTCTTGGGACTCCTGGAGCTCCGTCCTATATAGCAGCTACAGCCAGTTGTGGCTTTTGGGTACTAGACACCAGGTTAGTTTGAGTTGAGATGGGCTCTGAGTAAAAGCCATGCCAGATTTTGAGACTTACTTCTGAAAAAGTAAACTTTCTTGCTAATTTTTTTTTTTTTTTTTTTGAGACAGAGTCTCTGTCGCTCAGGCTGGAGTGCACTGGTGTGATCTCAGCTCACTGCAACTTCTGCCTTTAGGGTTCACGTGATTCTCATGCCTCGGCCTCCTGAGTAGCTGGGACTACAGGTGTGCAGCACCACACCCGGCTAAGTTTTGTATCTTTAGTACAGACAGGGTCTTGCCGTGTTGGCCAGGCTGGTCTTGAACTCCTGGCTTCAAGTGATCCACCTGTCTTAGCCTCCCAAAGTGTTGGAATTACAGGTGTGAGCCACCGTGCCTGGCCAACTTTCTTGGTTTTATATAGACTACATGTTGAAATGATAGTATTTTACATATCATAGGTTAAATAAACTATATTTTAAAAATCAGTATTGACTATTTGATTTTTACTTTTACACTTGATCTTAGCCAAAAGGCCGAGAAGCGATTGATTTTTACTTTTAAAAATGTGGCAACTAGAAACTGAAATTAACTTACGTGGCTTGCGTTTTATTTCTGTTGGACAACACTGTGCTAGAGCACAGTTGGAACACTTAGTCAGTCTCATCCCTTTGGTTCATAGATGAGAGGGTGAATCTGGAGAGGCAAGGCCCAGATCCTAGCTGAGCTAGAGTGGAGCCCACGTCTCCTGATTCCCAGGCCTGGCACCCTGTGTGTGTGGCTACATTTTCTTTCCTGATGGCCACAGCGTCAAATTCCTCACTTACAGAGCAGCCAAGCATGGGCATCAGGACGCCAGAAATACCACCAGGGAGCTCCTAAACAGCTCCGTTACACAAATGGAAAGAATGCTAATTCTCTCTGTGCACAGGGAGTGTTGGATAGAGCAGGAAAATGTCAGTTTCCCATCTTGCCTGTTATGAAGTCAAAAACTTTATTTCAAATCCGAATCACTGATGAGGTCTTCTTTGCCACGGACTTCCACTCTCTGCTCACTGCCCTGTCCTGGCCACAGTGGCTTTTTGGCAGTGCTGGATGAGATGCAAGCTTAGGCAGCAACTGTTTGCCAAGAGGGCGTCCTCATTTGCCAGGGAGAGTGAGGTGTCACTCACCAGCCTCCTGGCTTGGGCAGGGCTCTCCTTCCTCCTGTGTAGGATTGGCTGATGAGCCATAGGTGAGGAGTCCGTGATGTAATGTGCATGGTGCCATAGTGCCTGCTGCAAAGTAGATGCTCAGCATGTTTCTTAAATTTATCTAAGGTCAGGTGGTATCTTTCTTTCTGGTTGTCGGTCAGTCTGAGGAGAAATGATCACAGAATTGACAGACAGACTGAGTCCAGGCCTCAGTGTTGGAAGCATAGAGTAACCTCAGTCACACCTGCCTGTGGTGCTTTGTAGGCTCTGGAAGGAAAGGATTTTCATTTCTTCATCCAAATGTGCATATGTGGCTTAAGGAAAGGGAAAGGCATGTTGTAGAGCTGCTCTGTATTGACTCCTTACGCGGCCCTGTGATCTCAGCGGGGTCGCTGTGCCCTAGACCCGCTCTGTATTGAGTCCTCAGGCGGCCCTGCGATCCATCCAAACGGGGTTGCTGTGGTGGCTGATATGGGCCCGAGGCAGCAAGGTTTAGAGGCCTGGGCAGCCAGCGAGCAGCAGAGCTGATGTAAGCACCAGGTCTGTCTCTGAGGCCCAGGGCCTTTCCACCTCATCTCGTGGCCTTCTGCTGCGTCTCCTGTGCCTTTTGAAGAGCGCACACTGCTGTCCGGCCAGCAGGCACCTGCGGAGACATCCCTGATAAGGTGGTGCTGTATGGTGTGCACCACTTGGCGGCCACCTTCGAGGTCAGTAAGGAGTGGCATGCCCCTGCTTTACAGAGAAGGGGTGAAGGGTGAAAGCTCATAGGCAGCATGGGTCCAGAACCCCGCTCTGACCCCTTGATTTTTGCCTTCCTCCTTTGCCTCATGGGCACCAGTGACATTTTTCAGTCACCCACTTCTTGGCTGTAAGGTTGCAGAGCCACCTTTGAATGCCAGGTCTTTTTTGTCTTGAAACCTGGGCTCCCCACTCTGCAGGAATAAGAGTGTGCTGGAACGCAGTGCCTCACACATAGTGGATAATGATTGACAAGTGTTGGTTGAGGGGCTTCATGTGCCAGGCATGGCTCCAGGCACTGAAAATACAGTGGCAATTAAAGTTGCTTGCTCACGCTAGTGGGACAACCGCAATTAGACATCAGTTAGTATTTGAACTTCAGTGAGATAATGACACCAGTGAACTCAAATCACATACATCCTTCTCTCGTGACGGGTAACCTGTTGTTGCCTTTGTTTCTCCATGGTTCTCTAATTTTTTTTTTTTTTTGAGATGGTATCTTGCTCTGTTGCCCAGGCTGGAGTACAGTGGTGCCATCTCGGCTCATTGCAACTTCCACCTCCTGGATTCAAGCAATTCTCCTGCCTCAGCCTCCTGAGTAGCTGGGACTGCAGGTGCGCACCACCACACCTGGCTACTTTTTGTATTTTTAGTAGAAACGTGGTTTCACCATGTTGGCCAGGCTGGTCTCAAACTCCTGGCCTCAAGTGATTCGTCTGCCTCGGCCTCCCAGAGTGCTGGATTACAGGCATGTGCCACTGTGCCCGGCCGGTTGTCGAATTTTTGAAGCAATGATTTGGTGCAGGAACAGAGCCATGCTCTCCCCTGCAACTCTTGGGAGGAGCGAGAAAGTGTCCGACCTGAAATGAGATAGTATTTTGTAAGTCAATAGGAAATGTCCAGATGTAAGGTTTGGTTTGACACATCGACCATACTGAGAGGCCCCTGACAGATGATTTGAACTTCAGGTCCTGACTTCCCCGGACACGATGTGCAGGTGCATTTTACTTAAAAGCTCACACATGCCTCTTATGAAAACCCATGGTCAGTTCTTGTCCATGTAGTGTTGTAGCTATCAAAATTATTTCTGTTCTTATATGTTTCTAATTTTTGCTTGTTCCTCTTTCTTTTCTTTTTCTTTTTCTTTTTTCTGTCATACTGCCCTGTGAGTGTGTTGTTGGGTCTGAAAAGGTAGGCTGTGAACATTGCATTACAAATAGCCGGATTTCCCTGTGTGCTACCTTCTCATAGCCTCCACTGCTTTAAAAAACAAGCGCTGCTGCCTAAATCCATGTGTGAACCGGACAGTCTTTTCATTTTTTTGAATATGTTTTTTAATTTTAGCTTTATTTAGCATGTAACCCATTGGCGTTTGGTGTTTGCTAAAATACTTGCTCTGGGGGATCTCGTTCCATCTGTAGCATTTAGTGACATATGAACCAGTATACTTTGTTTGTTTGTTTTGAGGAAGTGAATTGCTAATTGATTTAGGCAGCTGTAGAGGGATTTTCATGGGATCTCTTAACTGTGGAGGTCCAAGGCTGCAGCGCCATGCTTGATCCTGCACTTTTGAGCAGCATGTCATTCCCAGCTGTGGCTGTGGGCCGTGCATGAAGGCAAGGAGCGTTGGCTGGAGTGTGCTGGCCACCAGGGGAGCTGCGGGAGGGTGAGGCTGCCTGTCTTTTCTTTTGCTTCTGCATTGAGCATGCCATTTCCCTGTTTCCTTCACCTCAGCGACTTTCCACAATAAAGGACACATAGGCCATTCTAAAACCCATACCAGGCCAGGTGCGGTGGCTCACACCTGTAATCCCAGCATTTGGAAGGCCAAGGCGAGTGGATCACCTGAGGTCAGGAGTTCAAGACCAGCCTGGCCAACATGGTGAAACCCCGTCTCTACTAAAGATACAAAAATTAGCCGGGCATGGTGGTGTGTACCTCTAGTCTCACCCACTCTACAGGCTGAGGCAGGAGAATTGGTTGAATCCAGAGGGAGAAGTTGCAGTGAGCCAAGATCATGCCATTGCACTCTAGCCTGGGCGACAAGAGCGAAACTTTGTCTCAAAAATAAGTAAATAAATAAATAAAATAAAATAAAACCCATACCAATCTTCTCCCCTCCCTATGAGGGCAAGGGCAATTTGTTTAAGTATCAGGGAAATATGGCCTTCTAGTTCACTTGGATCATGTAGACACAGGACCTGAATCAGTGACCACTGTTTCCTTTTTGCTTCTGCCAGTGAGCAGTCAGAGGCAGAGAAGCAGTTCACCCATAGCTATTGTATGGGCTCTTACCTGCCCCAGACTTTCCATTTAACCTCATGTAGGTAAGACATAGCTGTGTCTGCATTTTCATTTTATTTTATCTTTAGATGGAGTCTTGCTCTGTCGCCTAGGCTGGAGTGCAGTGGCATGATCTCGGCTCACTGCAACCTCTGCCCCCTGGGTTTAGCCATTCTCTTGCCTCAGCCTCACAAGTAGCTGGGATTACGGGTGTCTGCCAAGATGCCCAGCTAATTTTTATATTTTTAGTAGAGATGAGGTTTTGCCATTTTGGCCAGGCTCGTCTCAAACTCCTGACCTCAGCTGATCCCCCCACCTCGGCCTCCCAAAGTGCTGGGATTACAGGCATGAGCCGCTGCGGCGGCCTGTGTTTCTCCTCTTCCCTCCCCTCCCCTCCCCTCCCCTCCCCTCCCCTCCTCTCCACTCCTTTCTTTTTTTCTTTCTTTTTTGAGACAGAGTCTCATTCTGTCGCC